ACAACAGTCAGATAAGAGGTAGCTGAGTTCACAGAAGGGATGGGAGTGTGGCAAATGTCTCAGAAATGACCCTCCCTAGTTTCTTGGACTGTAAAGGTGAGGGGGGAGAAAGGTACTTTCAGACTTGCAAGATTCTATTACAATAATGTAACCTTACAATAAAGTTAGAGTTAGTCCTTCTGGATGTGTTTCTTGTGTGGACTACCTTCCAAGGCTGATGGGGAAAAAGTAATATACAAAATGAATCATCATCATCATCATCATCATCATCATCATCATCCAGCAGCACAGTGAATGTGAAATACTGAAATGCAAAGTGATCTTGCCACATCCTCTGCTCCTAACATTTTGAGATGGGTGTATCCTAGGAGTACTGTACACCTAGATTTTGTGTGTTTATACATTTTTTAAAACATGTATAAATAAATAAACAAACACACAAAATCTAGTTACATTACACCAGTTTGGTGTAGTGATTAAGGCATCAGGCTAGAAATCAAGAGACTGAGAGCTCTAGTCCCCTCTTAGGTACAAAGCCGGGGGGTTACCTTGGGCCAGTCACTCTCTCTCAGCCCTAGGAAGCAGGCAATGGCAAACCACTTCTGAAATCTTGCCAAGAAAACTTCAGGGACTTCAGGAATCAACACTGACTCAAAGGCACCAAATATATATTTGTAATGTATACATTGCAAGTTAAGCAGATTTCAGCATTCTGAGTAGATATAGTCACAATGGGATTTCAAACCTTTGTTTTTCTTAGTCAGTTTAATAATGTAGCTGGAGGTTTTCCAGCTTGCTTTTGCTAATTAATTTCAAACTTGCCTCTTGGATTTTCTGTTCACTGTTTTTAGACTCCAGGCTTGGAACCTATAGCATTTCCATTTTTTCCCCTTCACTGGAAATCAGAAGTGGTTTCAGCATTGCTTCTGCAAAGGCAGAAGGGAAGGCAGCACTTGGAAAAAACAAGATGTGTTTTAGGTTTTAATTTCAATTTCCTGGTTTATAATAATAACAACAATAACTCTTCCACAATTTTCAGTTTGGTGAATTTTGGAAAAAATAGCCAATTTATTTAAAAATAAATTTAAAATATTTAAAATATTTATTTAAAAATAAATTGAGCGGTAATAAAAAGATTGCAGCCTTGTCCCTAGATCTTAGATTAAGCAATTTTGGGATTCTGTCTCTCCCCTCCCCACAAATAATAATAATAAAAAAATAAACCTGTAAATCTCACCAGAAAAATCTTCCCTGGAAACATTCTAGGACTGCAGTAAAACACAATTCTCTGTAACCTCTACTGAACTCAGTAGAGTTTTTGAATAGATGTATACAGGGATGAATTTAAACAAAAGTCCATCAACCTCATATCTGATTAATAGAGTGCTTTGTACAAATTCAGATCTTATAGCTTAGGAATTTTTACTCATCCTTGCAATGAATGCATGGCAATAATTCCTATTTCCCCACCCCACCCCCTTTCATTCATCATTATTATTCTCACTGGGGTTTGTCCTCTTCAGTGTGGGAGGGGGCAAAGAATAATTGTCATTGAAAAGTATATTTATAATCAGTCCTGGTGGGTTTTGAGTTTTAATATTCAGAATGGACATTCAAATGCTGTACTATACTTTTCTAAAAGAAAAGCTCGTTGTTGTGGGAAAATAACTATTTAAATATTTATTATCTAACTTTTAATATTTAAAAAAAAGAAATGATTATTTTTCTGCAAAAAAGAGATTATTTTTTCATCTTGACGCTTAACAGATACTTAAATATTTAGAAGCTTGGAAGTGTGGCTTTTAGCTACTTAACCAAAACCAAGAAATTGGGTCTTTATTTTATTTTATTTTTTTATGAACTGTAAGGAGATGTATCTAATCACCATCAAAGTAAAATGTGTGTAAAGAATTCAATCAAAGTGCAAAATATTATGAAAGAGCTGAGATTTTTTCTTGCAGTATAAATGAGTACTGGCCAGAATCAGGCACAGAGTCAAAGAACAATGGGCTGCCACTGTTGTAAAAAAAATTAAGTCAATATTTATTTCATGTTTTATCACTTTTTTGTAGAGAAAGTTTACTCTCACATACACACACTCTCTCACACATTCACACACACACATACACAAATATATACTCACACACACAATCATACAGTATGTACAAAGTGCATGTACATGCATATGTACAATCACCGCCATAATTAAAAACAACACAAAATATTAAAAGCAGCATAACTAGCTCACTGATTGTTCTGTTCTGTTATGCAGTTAATCCATGAAACATCAGATAAGGGAAGCAGATGAAAATGTGGTGGGAATATATAGCTTAAGGAACCAAAATAAAGCAGGACAACAACTTACCAATTTCTACCAATCAAATAATTTCTTCATAGCTAACACAGTCTTCAGACAACCAGAACAACTCCCATACATGGACATCACCAGGAAGAGTACACTGAAATCAAGATGACTATATTATTGCTAAAAGGAGGTGGAGGAGTTCAATTATAGCATCAAAGACATGGCCAGGTGCTGACTATGGAACATATTGCAAGCTGCTGATGTTCACATTCCAAGTTAAGCTAAAGAAGAAGAAGAAAGCCAACCAATTTCCACAATATAATTTTGAACATAAACTCACCAAAGGAGAACATCAGGAATGGCTTTGAAATCCTGAACCTCATTGCAAGACAACCAGAAGTGTAGAAGGAACTTAAGTTGTTAAAGATGAATGTGAAAAGAGACTGCCAAATATGAAGGAACAGAAGAAACTCTGGAACTTGCCAAGAAGGGAAGCCAAAGCCAAGAATCTCAGGAAGGAATTAAGACAGATTATAGCCCTACATGGAAAAAGAGATGCCAAATATTCAAGAGGGCTTTAGAAAAGGCCAAGGAACATGAGTCATTGCTGATGCACACTGGATAATTGAGAGAGCCAAAGAATACCCCAAAGAGTCAATAAGTGCTTCATTGATTATGGAAAGACCTTTGATCAAATCAAGCTGTGGAATGTGCTTAATAAAATGGGAATCCCAGGACAATGCATTGTCCTCATGAAAACCCTATATACAGCTCAGGAAGCCACAGAATAAACAGAACTTGGTGAAACAGACTGGCTCCAGGTTGGCAACGGAATGAGACAATGCTGTTTATTCTTGAGGCACAAATGAGCAGGCTCAAATTATTCTACTTCAGACACATTATGCAAAGATCTAGCTTTCTGGAGAAGGCTCTAATGCTGGGACAGGTGGAAGGAAAGAGAAAAAGATGGATTGTGAAGATGGCAGAACTTGCTGAAATGGCCAAATTGACTTGTCTGATTAGGGAAGGAACAATAACAATTTTTATAATAGACTGGAAACCCTTTATGGACTCTTTGCTGAAAATGGACAAAATGAATCGATCTTGGGATTTACCAATTAAAAAGAGTTGTTTATTGGAAGAAAGGAACCATGATATATAATTTAGGAGGGTGGAAATGGTAATTATTATGTTTGTAATTGCTACAAAGAAGATCAGAAGTCACTTCTTTTCCTTCTCTTTTCTTGACTTTTACTGTTTCTCACTTTTTCTTTTTTCTTTTCATCTTTTTCTTTTTTCTATTTTTTTTGTTTCTGTAGTTTTTAATCCTGTAAAAAACTTTTCTTAATAAAATTATACACACACACACAATTTTCTATATATATAGAAAATATGCTAAGACAGACTTTACAAATTAGGCTAAACCTCAGCTTTGAATACAAAATCTTTATTTTGTAAGTCTTTTACAACAACACTCTGGTTTATGGTCATTGTTTTGTCTCCTGAATAGTGCTGCTTCAACCCACCAACCCACAACAGAAATTCTACTCTTTTATTCTTCTTTGCATTTATTTGATCTTTGAAATATATTGCCCACTAACACCTCACAATATTATTAACATGAACATAGCAAATATACAAACAAATAGCACGTTGCACTGGCTATACATTGGCATCATCATAATCTATACATCGATGGGATGGTAGTGACTGGACCAGCACTAGAGGACACAGATTCAAAACCCTGCCCTGCTTTCATGTGTCTCAGTCTAATGTTGAAAGGAAAACCTTCTGCAATTTTGAATGGGCATTAAAAATGTCAGGAGAGGCTTTCGTAAATATGCCCATGTAAAATACTCAAACATGTGTTTTCCTGAGCCTACACAGTTGCCATGTGTGCCCTGGAAAAGGCACACTTCCTTTAAGGAGCTATCAAGAGGTACAGTGAGGGTGCTCATGCAGGATTCAAAGCATCCTTGCTCACTTTGGATCCAAATACTGCACACTTCTGTCCTGGGCTTTCAGAGGCCCATCTCTTGGGTATGGAAGAGGGGGCCTTCTCTTGCTTCCTTGGGAACCATATCACATAGTCTACATGTTTTCTACTATCCGAAAAGGAAGTGAGACTCTCCTCTTCAGCCAAGTCATTTGGGTTGGTTTAATAATTGATTGATTGATAATGTATCATCAAGTTGGTATTGACTCTTAGTGACCACATAGATCGGTTTTATTTGTCAGTGATCAATGATCTGTCCATAACCTGATTCTTCAGATCTCCCAATGGTGTTTAATAATACTTTAACAATTTTTATTCAGCTTTCCAATGTTTACCTTTTAATGGAGGTTGTTACCGATTATGAAGATACACTGCTTCACATAAAAAAAGCAGGATGCATAGATTGGTAATGGGAGAAGAGAAAGAGTGTGTGGAGTGGATGATGGGGTGGAATACTGCTGAAGTAGAAGAGAAGTTCTCTTTCTGTTATAATAAAGAAGTGTATTTTTGACCCAAGACCTACAGACCCTAGTGGAGTCCATTCAATACTGCTGTACATGTTATGGGAGTGCATTGTAATCAACCTTGTAAAACCTGCTTCCACAAAAACTCTTTTACACGTCTAGTTGATAGTGTAAGATATTTCTTTTTAAATGTTGGGCCTTCAGGCAAATCACAATTTTGTCTTTTTCACCACAGGGAGTAATACATCAAGCTTACTTGTTTGGTTTGAAGCCATTTACAACCTACTACATTCATATTGTTGCTGTCAATAATGCTGGGCAAGTTGCTAGTCCATGGACTTCAGTGCGCACCCTGGAAGCTTCCCCAAGTGGCCTAAGCAACTTTACAGTGGACAAGAAAGAGAATGGCAGGGCATTGTTACTCAGATGGGCAGAGCCTTCCAAGCCTAATGGTAACATTAAGGTAATTGAATCTTATTTAATCAAGGTGGAATGGGAATATTGTTGAGAAATGCATGATGTAAAAATCATTAATGCTCTAGTACATTACAAATGTTGTAATTTGCAGTACTGTAAAACTTTAATATAGTACTTCATGACTACTCTCAGTTGTAGTTCACTCTATGCCAGTGTTTCTCAACCTTGGCAACTTTAAGATGTGTGGACTTCAACTGCAAAATTCCCCAGCCAGCATTCTGAGAGTTGAAGTCCACACTTCTTAAAGTTGCCTAGGTTGAGAAACACTGCTGTATGTTATAGTTCACTCTAGAGGAGACTATCCTTGAAGACTACCCAGAAATTTCAGCTGAATCACAATGCAGCCATATTACGCTGTTGCTGCAGAAGCTGCTGCTTGCAGGTGAATTCAGGTGTTATTCAAGGTGCCAGTCATTACTTTTAAAGCTCTAAATGGCTTTGTGCGTGGGTATCTAAGAGACTGCCTTTCCCAAATAGATTCTGCCTCCCTGATTTGGATGATCAGGGAGTACCTGCTAAGGGTCTCCACCTACTTGGAGGTGTGTGGGAGGAGGCCTGATGGTGGGAATTCTTTGTGGGTGCTTCTTTTCCTGTGGAATAACTTGCTATAGAAAGCAAGGATGACTTCTACTCTCATGGACCTCTGGAGACTGGCGAAAACATGGCTCTTTTGGGGGGCTTTGGGGATTGACTTGCATTATCAGCCCTAATAATAGTTTTAAAGATTATTGTAATTTTTGGAATTAATGTAATCCTGGATTATTTATTATTATTGTTTTACTTGTATATGTAACTGCCCAGAGTCTATTAAGGATTGGAGGGGGGAGGTGATATGTATTAAATAAATAAGCGAGCAAGCAAGATCTCAGACCTCTTATAGTGAACAGCTTTATCAGGCAGGTTTTGAAGAACTCACAATTTACATCTGACCTGGCTCTTTACCATCTGTCCCTCTTCACTAAGCTCCAGTCATTACACTTTGGGTAAAAGAGACATCTGTAGCATTTTAAAGACTAACTAGCTTTATTATATAGTAAGTGAAGTGGGCTTACAATACAATGCAATAGATTAGCCTTACATCTGTGAGCATGTCCTGTTCTGGGAAGGATTTCCAGGATACTTTTTCTGTGTTTTCTCCTCCCCTCTGCTGTTCTTTTCCAGGGAGGAGAGATTGTACTATTTGACTCTTTTCACTGGTTATAGACACTTTCACTTTAAAATACAGGGGACACTGTTAGAGTATACTTTTAAAAATGCTTGTTATAAATAAATATGTCATTGCTTGTAGTGCCTTATCTTAGAATATTTTCATCGTCCTTTACAATTGCCATATGAAACCTTAACCCCAGCCCTTTTCTTGATTTAAAAATCAAGACTTGATTTAAAAATCACTCCATCCATCCATCCATCCCTAAGCAAACTGGACTGAGCTAAGTGGATCCTTCTCAGAGCTTTCATTACCACAAATATGAGGCAATCTAGATTTTCTTGTCTTTCTTCCAAGCAACAGGATAGTGATTCATTCCAAAAGGTCAACCACTGAGCTTTCCAGGATCCTCAAAAATTTCCTAATCCAAATCTAATGCTTAGCCCATTAACTTTTGAGCCATATGTACATATCTTGTTCTTTCTCAGTGAATCCTTCAGTTTTCAGTGTTAAAATAATGTTGGAGTACATAGTGAGCATTTTGAGTTGGTTGGGTCTAGTAGTTAAGGTGCTGGCCCAGGAATGGGAAAACCCAAGTTCTAGTCCTGCCTTAGGCACGAAGCCAGCTGGGTGACTTTGGGCCAGTCACTCTCTCTCAGCCCTAGGAAGCAGGCAATGGCAAACCACTTCTGAGAATGTTGACAAGAAAGAACTAGCCTCCAGGAGTCAAAACTGACTCAAAGGTGCACGCATATACACACTCAAAAGTGAGCACAGTAAAAATTTTGCCCAAAAGAAAAGAGATGCTTTAGGAAGGAGACAATGCCCCACATTGAACACTTTCTTCATGCTTTTTATTGTGCCTGCTGGATCTTTGATAATCCCCCTGTTACAGTGCCCAAAGAGCAGCAGGAACAGGGTGCCTATGGAGCATGTGAAAAGTCATTGCATCTATCTAGTGGGTTGCGCTTGGTTTATAAAGTTGCCTGATGAGGCTATTAATGGTCTTGCTGGTAATGTACTGACATTGTCTTTCCTTTCAGATTTACAATATTTTCAATGATGGTAACCTGGAATATAGTGGCTTGTCTCGTCAGTTCCTCTTCAGACGTCTTGAGCCCTTCACGGTCTACACTCTTGTTCTTGAAGCTTGTACAGCAGCTGGCTGCACTCGCTCTTTACCGCAGCCAATTTGGACAGATGCAGCCCCTCCTGCATCTCAAATGGCTCCTGTAATCCATTTGGTGAATGCAACCAGCATTGAACTGAGCTGGTCTGAGCCAATTAATTCAAATGGAAAAATAATGCGCTATGAAGTTATTCACAGACACACCAAAGAAAATGCTTCAGAGGAAAATAGAACGAAAGAAGAAGAGAACATTGTTTTCACAGAATATAACACTGGGAGTAATGCATTTGTATATCGTGCTCAGCATTTGCAGCCGTGGACTACATATGAATATAAAATACGTGCCTGGAATTCAGCCGGCTACACAGATAGCTCTTGGTCTGCTGCAAAAACCAGCCAAGCTTCCCCAGAGGGTTTGGCTGCTCCCGTGCTAACTTATATCTCAGAAAATCCCAGCAAAATGTGGATTTCATGGTCATTCCCAGAAAAGAGCAATGGTATTCTGCTGTCATATAAGCTCCAAAGAAATGATGTTCCTTATCCTTTTAGCTTTGATGCTTCAACCTTCAACTATACTGATGAAGACTTGCTTCCATATACAGAATACCATTATGCAATAACTGCTTGTACCCTGGGAGGCTGCTGCACCAGTGACCATTCCAGAATACGGACATTAGAGGCAGCTCCAGCACTAGTCAGCCCTCCTACTCTAGAAGGTATCCATTCAACCCAGATTAATGTATCTTGGTCACCGCCCCCAATTCAAAATGGTGAAATCATAAAGTACATTTTAAAGCTGAATGGTGAAGAACTATATGCTGGAAAGAGTTTATTCAGGACAGTATTGGATCTACAACCGTACACTAAATATGACATCACATTGGTTGCCTGTACCAATGGGGGCTGCACTGTTAGTGCACCTCAATCTGCTTGGACAATGGAAGCCCCTCCTCTTAACTTAGATCCTCCCAAGTGCTTAGTGACAGATTCAGAATCAATAGAAATCACATGGAAAGCTCCGAATAATCCAAATGGTAAAATCCAGATTTATGAGCTGAGGAGGAATGGATTGCTGGTTTATTCTGGTCTAGATACACACTATAAGGACTTTATGTTAACTCCTGGAGTAGAATACAGCTATACTGTTACTGCAAACAACAGCCAAGGAAGTGTTACTAGTCCAATAGCCAAGATAAGAACCAATCCTTCTGCCCCATCTGGAATATCTCCACCTAGGTTGCATCCGTGGTCCTCACAGACCATTTTGGTTACTTGGGATCCTCCAGCAAAAATCGGTGGTGACATAATTAATTATACAATCATTCTTTGGGAGCCTATTAAATCACAAAAGAAAATGATTTATCTGGATTCTTTTCATGATTCTTTTGGAAGAAGGTCTTACAATTTAACAGAACTAAAACCCTATCACAGGTATGTTGTAAGTGCATACTGTAATGAGTAAATGAAGAAGGAATTCTTGTACTTTAGAACATAAATTAATTTCCCAAGGCATGAGATTCGCTCTCTGTATCCATCAAAAGCTGAGAAGTACATGCATGCTAGTTTGTCCACTGTAAGGATTGTTGACTAAATTTACTTAGTCAATCACTTTTTCTTTCTCTTATAGCTAGCCTTTGTCAATGGGATTTGGAATATGCCATTAGCTGATCAATTAGAAGAGGATCTTTACTGATATTCTAGAAAGTTACTGTACTCATTAACTGTTGAATTCTGAGCTTAGGTTTAGATATCGTCTTCACCTTATATTTCCATCAAATTTAGTAATATGTTCTTTTCTGCCCAGATGAGATGATCCCAATATTTTCAGTTCATATGATTAGATTCTTATGCACCATAAGAACTTAAATTTCAATCCAGTCTTTTTGAAGTGATGCATTTCTTTTTTGTTTGAACGTCTGTAAACTTGTGTCTCGTGGAACATCTGTACTTAATGTTACTTTTATATGCAGTGCAATGCCTAGATTCTACTACCTCATTTCTGGTTTGTGTTTGTAAAGGTATGAAGTACAAGTGCAAGCTTGTGGTCTTCTGACATGCACTTCCAGTGAATGGGCTTCCATACAGACTCTTGAAGCACCCCCTGAAACACAGCCAGCTCCTTTCATAGATGTCCAGTCAAGCCCTGATGGATTCCATACTGTTCTTTCCATCATGTGGACTGGCCCAAAACATCCGAATGGAGACATCTCACATTATGAGCTTTATCGAAGACAGCAATTACCCAATCAACACAAAGTCAGCCTTGTTTATAAGGGTTCATCCACTTCATTCAAAGATGACACACTCCTGCCTTTTACTGAATATGAATATCAGGTATGAAAATGGGAGACTACAGTGAAAATTCCTGGGCATCTCACTGAGAAATTCTCTTTATCAAAATGGTTAATATACAGCAGTGTTTCTCAACCTTGGCAGCTTTAAGATGTGTGGACTTCAACTCCCAGAATTCCCTAGCCAGCCATACCAGCTGGTTCCCTCTGAAGAATTGTTAGTGATCACAGTGCTTTGAGATGGCGTAGCAATTCCCCTTTATACATGAACTTGTTTTGTGATACACTGAAGCTGACAGATTCCCAGGGGCATGATACTGAATGGATATGAGTGCCTTCTACTCCAGTTCTGATGCAAATGTAACTCTTTCCCAGATAGGGTCTAGGCATACCCAAACTGGGGGGTGGGAGGAGGAGGATTGCAAGTATCTATTTCCCTGTCTTGTCTTGTTGGCTGGCTTAGTCCCCATAAGGAGTATTTCAGTTAGCATATGGTCTGAGCAATATAGCATATCCAGAGGCCTCTTAGACCTGTTACAACCAAGAGGCTACCATGGTTCCTTAACTCCAGTAATTATTCCTAATGCCGTTTGAGCTGGACAAACCATGAGACCTAGGGAACTTGGACAGTTTTCTCACTGAAAATTTTTGGATGCCTCTTGTGATTCGGCATAGGTGCACCTGGGATACGGATGGCCTCTACATGGCAAGCTTCAACAGGAATGCTTGACATCACAGGAAAGCCTGTGTTTCATCACAGATGATGGCTCTTCAATTATTTGATTTCCTACTTCTAATGATGCCATTTTCTTTGAGCTTCAATGAACTAACAGTGAGAGAATGCTTGAATGCTTTCCAGAACTCATCATTTCACATTAGAGGCTGGAATCTCTCCCTCCCTCCCTCCCACACACACACACACACACACACACACACACATCTTGAAGTGGAGCAGGTGTACGTGTGAAAGAAAAAAATCATGTGTATATTCTTCTTCTACAGATGTCATGTGGAGCAGCCCTCAGGGATCTATTCTAAGACTCACTATTGTTGACAATATATATTTTGCCTGTGAGACATCTAATTCATAAGTGTAGGAATTGACTTTCACTATTATGCTGATGAAATCCAGATTTATTTTTCACTTAAGCATCATATTGATTCTTCTGCATCTCTCTCAGAGGCTTGTTTGCTGGCCATAAAGTTTTAAATGCAACTAAATTTCCTCCAACTGAATGAAGGCTTTTAAAAATTGCCATCAGTCTTCAGAGTCTAGCTTGATGGTTCTGACATCAACCATACAACTGAGGTCACAAATGTTAGCATCTTTTCTTCTTTTTTCTTTTTCTGAAGCTTTAACAAACTCCTTTAACTAGGTAGCATGAGGAGGATTGGTGTGGCTTAGGGTGGAACACTGTTTTGCACACCAAGGATCCCAAATTCAGTTCTAATATCCTGAGTTAAAAGGAGAGATGGACAAATGTTTGTGAAATTGAATTACATTCTGGTTTTTAGATATTAACTGTGCCATGCTCCATTCCACATCAGTTTGTGAATTTAATTTGTAAAAGAATCCACACAAAAATGTCTATGCATTTCTTTTATATGACTGTTTTATTCTAAATATACCAGTTTCTGCAAATATAATTTCCCTAATACACTTTGCTTTCAATGTTTTTGCCCTTTATATATGCATTTTTGTACATTTTCCTGTAATATATGCAATTAGGGGCAAACTTTCCCATACTTCCCATGTTTGTTTGCTTGTTTGTTAGATTTATATTCCACCTTTCCTTCAGAAGTTCAAAGTGACCTCAAATAGCACTCCTTTCTCCACAACAAAAACCCTGTGAAGTACGTTCAGCTGAGAGAGAGCAACTGCCCCAAAGTAACACACTTCCATGGCTGAGGGTGGACTTGAACTTGGCTCTTCCCAGCCCTCATTAACACCTTAATTACTTACTTGATTTTTATGAAGTGCAAAACAAAATGCATAAAAATATAATGAGTTTCAGTTTGCAGAGAGGTTTGGAAAGTACAGATCAGGTATGATGGCATTAAAATGCTAATCAATCAAATTTCTCCTCTCTGTGTAGTTAAGTGGATCAGATAGCTGATGAAATATGTTTGTCAAAAATCTTGGAGACCCAGAAAAGCTACTGATCTGGAACAGCAGCAGTTTACAAGGCAACATGTATTAAAGTGCCACCAGAAGTAAATGAATTAAATAACTGCAGGCCTTCATGTGGCCCATATTATCTATCTACAGAGATATTGCATTGTGTCTCTGAACAATCTGCTGCTCTGGTTTTGTACCCTTCCTGTCAGTCTTTCTTAATCTGAGTATTTCAAACCAAGAAAGCAATCCAATGATTTCAGGACTTCAGTTTCAGAGATCAGGAACAGTTACCCCAAATTAAGCTGGTCACTGAACCCCCGTAGGTGTGACTACTCTAAATTTGTCACACTTTCAGTTATGAGGCAGTGATTGACTGACTGACTGACTGACTGACTGACTGACTGACTGACTGACTGATTGATTGACTGATTCACTCATTCATTCATCAACTCCAGAACAACTCTGGCCAGCTTCACAATTAAAAAGTGATAGAAAACAATATCATACAAGAAAAGAACAGCAGCCACTGGAGGGAACAAATAAAAAAGAACACTCAACCCATTCTCCAGGTTAAGAGGTCAAACCACACACTAACCCAAGGCCTGGGAGAATAGCCCTGAAAAGTCCCAGTCATAAATAGGGCTAAACTCATCCAGTGGTAGACACTCCTAAACCTAGTCAGTTGGGCCTGTGAATGAGCAAGTTCCCCTTCCACAGTAGCAATTTTGTGAGAAGATTCGTGACATATTCTCAAAAGTCCAGCAATGTTGCGATTCCTGCTTTAAGTAATTACTTTTACTTGTTGGCAGAGGTAAGAAAAAGGCTTATAATTGCCTGCCTAGTTTGCTATGAACACAGAGGGATTCTAAGACTACTTTGTTTTCCCCTTTTCACACATTCAGTGAATGCCTGAATGGAGCTACTGAAAGTTGTTTCCATTAATGCAGTAGGAAAATGGGAGTACATAAGGAAGAACATGTTGGGTTGATGATGGGCTGTTCTAAAGCCTTGGGTCTTGGCAAAGACTGCCAAGACCAACTGAAAGACTGGCCTAAGGTATTAAATGCAAGTTGTGTCTTAATGTGGATGGGTGAGTGGGAGAGTAGGAGCAACAGCAGACAGATGTTTTTGTACAAATGCCCTACTTGTGAGCTTCTTGCAACCTTCTTCCTGGCCACTGTAGGATGTTGGATTAGAATTCAGGGTTCCCCAAAGTGGTCAGTATCAAACCCCAAGGGTCGATGGGACTACCCAAGGGGTCAATGTTGTTATTTGTAGTACTATTAGTTAAAGTAGCATTTATTAAATTATTTTCATATAATAAATGTTTGGGGATCGATGAACAGTCTGAAACTTCATGAAGGGGTCAATGAGTTGAAGAGTATGGGGACCCCGGATTAGATGCATTTGGCTTGATTAACCAGAGTATTTTATGTTTCCCATGTTAGAGTAATATATTATTTTGTTTTGTCAATCAGTTTCAGTGTAGGTGATGTCTCTATTTTATATTTTCTGAAAAAATGAAGGGACTCAAGTTGTATATATTGCTGGACAATAGTTTTATTATATCAGTGGCTGAAGACTGAGGAAGTTCTTCATGTATCACTGAAAAAGCAGTTTCCCTTGTCGGTTTACCCCAGAAAATGTATGTTACTGAAAATCTAGGTATTGCAGTGTAACAGATGAATAGTCCACAGCCTGCTATAGACATCTGATATTTCTTTTCCTTTTTATAGTTTTATGTTAATGCTTTTGTATTTTAATGGAATTTTGAACATTAAACTGGAATCTGTCTGTGCTTTTGCCCATTATCAAGGTCTTCTGAATCACAATGTTCCATTCCATACCCTTTGCTTGCCTAGAATTTAACTTGACCCCTAAAACTCAAAGGCCATCTGAGATATCTTCCAAAGATTGCACAAAGTGCAATCTAGAGATCCACTTATGGTACAAAAATCCATGGTCATGCTCTCAAGAGTTCAAGAATTTAGTTTTCTATTTTGGCTGAAAACACAGAATACAAAGATTAATGCAAATACCTATACAATAAGCTTTGATTTAAAAATGCTTAAGTTGTGATGCCTATCACCAAAGCTGTGGTTGCTGTCTACTGAAGCAGGGCCTTTTCATTGGTGGCATCTGATTTATGGAGGGTTGTTTTTTTTTTTTTTTGTGGCGGGGGTTGGACTCTGCAGAATTGCTTTCATATTGAATTTCAGTTCAGGAAATAAATAAAACTACCATTATTTATTCATATAGTTAAAGTATCATTATTGTTCTTATTGTATCAAACATAGCTGTGAAATATACTGTGTAGGCTTTCATGGCAGGTATCTGTTGGGCAGTGTTGGGCTTCAGGGTTTAGTGACCGTGGTCTAAACAACAGATTTCCTGACATTTCACCAACTGTGACTGGCATCTTCAGAGGCAAGGTAGTCTGCTATGCAGACCACGGGCAACTGAGCAGGGACTGACTGAGCTCCTGTCTTTCTAGCTGATTGCTGACTGGTCTTTAGCCTAGCTGGTTTTCGATTGGTGCAGGTTGGTGAAGGTTGGTCTCTGTGAAACATCAGAGAGAGAGAAAGAGAAATGGGTGGGAGAAAACAAATCTCAACAAAAAATACCCATTTTTGTTGATCTTTACCCTTTGCAAATCTTTGTACCATAATTAAGTTGGTTATTAATCTTTGCACAATTGTTCAAGTAAATAAAAGTTTCTGATTAATTATGGCAAATTCATACATACAGATACAGTAGTTATGAACCTGTTAATGCTTCATTAGGGCAAGATCTCCTTGGGTTGTTTGTTTCTGACATATTCAAACACTGTGATAGGCATGTCTTTTAAAAAGACATTACTGTGAGTGCCATGGGAGTTTATACATCCCCTGGCTGTTATATGAATTGATATGGTTTCCTTGATT